AAACATTAAAGTGTGACAAACATGCAAAAAAATAAGAAATCAGGAAGGGGGCCAACACTTTTTCACACCACTTTATATCTGTCACTGTAATAGATGTCCGAATAGATCTGGTCCGGCCAGGGGCGTAGATTACGCGGGGGACGTGTCCCCCCCACCGGACCCAGAATAAGGCGAGATGAACATTGAGGAGCGCTAAACACTCCGTGCAGTGTATGTTTCATTCATACTCGAAGCCGGAGGGCGCTCTCGCGCAGAAAGTCGTACGAGGAAATTCCTAATATGGACAAATGCGTCCAGCTATCGCTGCATGAAAACAGTTGTTTTCATAGAAATACAATTATATATATATATATATATATATATATATAACATTTCTGTCCCCCTCACTTCTGAAATGATGGCTATGCCCCCGGGTCCGGCTAATTGTGTAATGTTAAAAACTGAGTTGAAAAATGGCTTAGTCACTAGTTTTGTCTAACATGAGCTAATATATTGCATTGTGTGCAAAATATCAGTCAGACACCTAAACCTATGGCTGAAGTCATGACTGGGCAGTAAAAGCTGGACAGGAAGGAAGCAATGTCTGAAATGGCTTCTCATTTCTTGTTTAAAGGTTATTGCACCGCCACCCATTGCTGATACGATCTTAGCTGTTAGAAAGCACTTTTGAGCCACTGGTTTGACTGGAGGCTTGAAAATGGTAAAATAGGCACAGAGATGGAGGAACACTTTTGCCATTTTGACCTGACAGCAGGTCTGTCTAGTGGCTTCCGTAGTTGATTGTGAATTTATACCATTCAGTTAAAGGGATTGTTCAGTGAAAAAGGAAAATTCTGTCATAATTTACTCACCCTAATGTCGTTTCAAACCTGTGTGATTTTTTTCCCTCTGCAGAACATAAATGGTGCTCTTTTGAAAAAGAAAAAACTGTAACTTTGTAATCAAAAATTTTGAGTTTTTCCCCAGTTTAGATTTTTGTTCTTGCCCATGCCAACATTTTACTGGTCCCAACATAATAAAAACATTTTTTTCATTTATTTATTTGATACGTGTTAAAAAATAAATATATTTTTCATTTAATGTTAGCCTAAACAGTACAATATGTTGGAAAATGCTGCCATACAATGCATACATTTATTAGTTGAATGGTTCCAACGTCAGGCCTTAATGTAAGGTCATGTTTTTGGCAATGTTTTGCTTAGAGTACTTGTATATCTTAATATTAAAAAAACATTTTTTTGGGGTAAAATAACCATATAATCTTGACTTGTAAAATTTTAAAAGGTATGAGAAAATGCTTCCCAACTTTTATTTTTGACATCAAATACATATTAATACTGCATGAAGTTTATTAATATGAAAAAAAATCTAGGGTTTTGACAGACATTATTTTTTATGGTAAACAATTTTGTGTTGGGTCTGATGTAAAATCTTTGTCCTGAAGCAAAACCTTAGTGTATCTTGACCCTTATCGTTATAGAGACCAGTTTAAAAAACACTGAGCTGAAGATTTTTCTCCTGCAATAAATAATGTCAGATTTGAAACCACATTACAACATGGTGGTTGGAAAAATAATTCCATTTCTTTTTCACACCAAATACTGAATAATAGAAGGAGGTTGGCTAATTAAAATTTCACACTGTTGTCCACTTTCAGTACAAAACATTTCTGGATTACAAAAACACACCTGAGTTCAAGTAGGGGATACACAAGCTGTTTGCGAGTGAGAATAAAAAGGCAACCGAAGCCCTTAACTCACAGTCATCACAGGTAATAATTGTAAAATATCTGTGTTCCTTTTCCCCAACTTTGAAGTGAGGTGGCTACTGTCTGTTCTTGCCCTGTAGGAAGCACACATTAGATTTATGACTTTGCAGACAACCAAAATTACACTGTCCCTCGCTGCAGCCCAGGAAGGCCAGTAATCGCTTAATGCACAACAGCTAATTGTGACCATGCAGAGATATAGAGTTTATGTGACACATGATAAGTGTTTTTCCATCCCTCTGGCAGAGAAAAGGTGTAAAGGCAATTTAGTAAAAGAGGCTTATCTGATAAAGCTGTAATTTGTCATGAATGTTCCCATTTTTCTCTCAACACCAGGACACAGCTTAAACAATCCATCTGGATTGCATTATGAGTGACCAAGGTTTTAATGCTTCGTAATAATGAATTCAACACTGCAGGATTGTACCTGCACTTTCATGGTTACGCTCTTAAAAAAGATGGTGTAGAGGTTCTTTACTTGCAATCATAGTTCTATTTAGAACCAAATGCTCCTAAAATACCCTTTTATGCTGAAATAGTTCTTTATGCTAGGGATTAAGGTTATTTATTCCCACCCTTTTGTTTTGTTTTTTAAATCTGTAACTGTCAAAAAATTATTTTAAAGCAACTTCTGGCCTTTTTTTTTTCAAGTTTAATTCCCAACCCTTAGTAAACACACCTGAATCAGCTAATCAAAGTCTTCAGACTCTCTAGAACTTCCAGGCAAGTGTGTTGGAGCTGAAATCTGCAGAACATTGGTCCTACAGAAGCAGGATTGGACACCACTGCCATAGAAGAACCATTTTGGGTTCCCCAAAGAATCTTTCAGTAAAAAGTTCTTGTTAAAAGAACCGTTTTTTGTTAAATATTCTTCATGGAACAATGGATGCCAATAAAAAAAACTTTATTTTTAAGAGTGTATCCCTCTAAGGCTTGTTTTTGCTGAATACAAATATGAATGAACACTGATTCCATAATATTTATAAGAAGGAAACATCTGCAATATCAGTACATAACTGTCACAATGTACAATGTTACGTGCATCTGTCAGCTTTGCAAATGCCATTCCTCATTTTCAGTACGGTTTAGTTGGAAAGATCAGATCCTGTGTGTTGAAGAGGTGTGTCAAAGCCTGTTGACTGATGTCTACGCTTGCCCGGAGGGCACTTGTAAACACAGAATACACCTTTGCTTATAGGCAGCTGGCTCACGTGACACATTCACAGATTGCCTTTAAAAACCCCTCTCGCCCAGATCTGACAGATCTGATCTAGAAGGTGAGGAGAAGATTTCAACATGTGGATGTTTTGCAAAGCTAACTGTTTATAGTTCACACTGGACCCAAGAACTCTCATCTCTCATACCAAAGCTAAGATTTGCATTTTACAGAGGACAAAAGTCAACAACGATGAGTCTGGGCGGCACCAGTACAGAATCTGATGTTTCAGAGGATGAGTTGGAGGATTGTCCTTTGGGTGAGGATGATGACTGTGACAATGAAAGCCCTGCAAAAATTTGTTCAGAGCGCTTAATGTCATCCGGCCCCAGTGACACAGAGGACATCAAAGCAGTTAAGAGGCGTGCTCGGCCCAAGCGGTCCAAAGCACGGAAAGTCGCCGCCAACATCCGAGAGAGGAAGCGCATCCTGGACTACAACCAGGCCTTCAACGCCTTGCGCACTGTCCTCAAACATGACCTTAGCGGAAAGCGTCTCTCTAAGATTGCCACTCTCCGCCGTGCCATCCACCACATTTCAACACTGTCTTTATATCTGCGGACACATTCAGATACTGAACCACACGCACCTCCATGTACCCAAACGGAGTGTTACCGGCAGCCAGAAGAGAATGTTTCTCTGCCCAGGAAGACAGGAACTTTCCAGGAACCGATGGAGAACTACACTACCCATCAGCCAGAGCCTCTCAGAGTTTCTCAAGAGATGCCTGGGATTTTGTACCAGGACATATCAAACTCTGTGCCATCTCCTCACTACAGCCACTGCGCAACCAACAGTCAGGCACACGTGAGCCATGGATGCTTCGGTCACCACTGGGTGGACCAAAGCAGTGATTACAACAGTGGAGGATGTGAACATGGGACGAGGGTCACCTGTCATCAGGACCATATGGACACTTATGCAGACTCTGCTAACCCGTTTTTGGCTTGGCAGCTTGGTTACCTACAATATCACGGATACCAGCAATCCCTGAGTATGCACTGACTTTTCTCATGCTAGAGTTATTTTGAAAAGCATGCTAGAGATATGTTGAAAAGCATTAGCAATTCGTAAACATCATAATGGAAAGATTATGTTGGGATCCATTTCTAAGTTTAAAAAATATACTGTATATTACAGCGAATGCCTTTGAAAAATCTTCTTCTGTAAGTGTTTTATTGTACATTCTAGATTTTGTTGCCACTTGATAATTCATACCATTTTTTTCATAGGCACAAATCCCCAAATAAAGCAGCTTATTATAAAACTGATGTTGGCTCTTTTCAAACCACTGTAGTTAAAAGTATAAATATATTTTAAATGTAAATGTAATGCAGTTTATATACTCCTTCTACCCAATAAGATATAGCATATTAAGTGCAATCAAATTAATTTTGATTAAACCATTAGAACATTCGATAACATTAACAAGTCTGTTCCTATAAGTGATTTTGTCACAATTGAAACTTTATTTTTTTTCCCCTCATTGCAATTTAATTTCTTCCAATATAACTTTAAATCTCACTATGCAACTTTACATCTTGCAACTGCAACTTTCAGTCGTTACTTTATTTCTAATGATTTTGGCAATGCCAATTTCCTAAACTTATTTTTATCACCTGTTTTATTTCTTACTTTGAGGTGGTAGCAGGTTTTCATATGTCAAGCATTGCTGCAGTATGTAGAAAAGTCAAGAGTGCTAGTGCAGTGCAACAAATGTAACACATTTAAACTTTCAGAAAGTTCTTTGCTCTCTCGAGGGAGGGAGAGCAAGAATGGTTAATCTGCAAAATTCCTTTATGGAATGTGTTAAACTGGTAGATCATCTATAATTACTGTCAGTGTCAATTATAAATCTGCATTGCATGATGCAAAGTTGCAAGTTGCCACAGTCAATAAATGGGTACTGACAGAGAAAAATAGAAAATGACAGCAAGTCTTGTATCTATAACAAAAAAATACAGATAGATATAAATTTGTAGCCTAATATATTTGAGTGCAAAGCACGGTAGCCGTTACATGAAGTTACAATTAGGTTTCTATTGTAGAATTTCCTTGTTCTGTAATTGTTGTTTTGTATTATCAGGATTTGTTGTGCATCTTTGGAAATTTGACTTTAAGCATAATGTATGCAGTTGAAGAATTCAACACCAAAACGCATTTCCTCATTAAGAGACTGAAAGTCTTTTTAAAAAATAGTTTTCAGGCTCTTTGAAATTTGCAAATTAGCAAAAGTGTCTTTATTAAAAAAAAAAAGAATTTATTCCAACAGAAGGGGGCAGTGATGGTCTCCCCCTCAGGACTGATAGAGGGAGGTGATTCCAGTAAAATGGGGGAACAGGGAACAGGAAGGAGCTCAGCACTCGCTCAAGGCAGATATGACTCAGCTTTGTCTCTTGATCACATCCAGTAAGGGGAACGTTGTCAGATTCTGTTCCTTTCCGCCCCCTTCACATGGTGTGATGACATGTCTCTCGCTCTTGACAGAACTAGCAGCCAAGTGTAGTAACAACTGCATGTTTTGTACAGTAATTTCAAAAACGTTGCCATTTGAGTCAAAAGAGCTCAAATTCAGTCAGATTAAACTAAATAATGGGTTCAAATTGCAAGGAAGGATTATGGGAAAGTATTTGTAAATGAAGTCATGCCAAACACCCTATGAAATCTGTGCAGGTTACTATGTTTTTAGGTTGTTACAAAAGTGGGCCACTTGAGGGCAGCAAATACATACAAAACCAGTCTTCATCGCATCAAAACAGATCTGTTTTTATTCAAAAAGACATGTCGGTTTAAAAAAAAAAAAAAACAGGATGTGAACTCAGTTAACCCGTATATTTTGGGTTAATCTTGCTGAGATTGCAAACTGTAATTGGATTAGCAGCAAAGATGATAAAATAATTCACCCAAAAATTATAATCTCCTCAGACTCATGTATTTATTTTATTTTTTTTAAACTTTTGTTCTGATCTGTAGCACAAAAGGAGTTATTTTCTAACTTCCGTTTGGATGTCATTAATAGATATTTGAGCACTACATGTCTGAAATAACATGACAATGAGTAAATGATCCGAATTTTCATTTTTGGGCGAACTATTCCTTTGACCTTTAGATTTCTCCTTCCCAAAATCCATTGCTTTTGCTTTAGATTTACCACTGATTTGTATTAAACCCCCACACTTGAATCCCATGATACCATTAGCACAAAGTTCACATGTATTTTTACTTAAAAGTCAGACTGCCCACATGTCTAGGACTTATTATCATTTCATCAAATAGCAGGGTGGAAAAGTTAATGTCTTTGCCATGAATCCTTTAAATGTCTCTGTTCTCTGAGAACCTTCTTTCAAGCATTTTATATGACTAATACAGAATGTCAATGGGAGCATAAACAGTTTAAGACTAACAAAAGCCAGCTAAGGCATAGAAGACAGATGATTCCATCACCACATAAACAACCCTGTAAGCAGCAAGTCTCATGTTTTTTTTTTTTTTTTTTGAGTCCAGCTGATGGATTGGGCAAAGGCCAAACGCTAGCCAGCTAAATGACAGATTACACAGTGACAGTGGAGGTGATCACTGTTGGGTTCACTGTCTTGTACAGAGGACTTTGTTTCATCTAGTCTAGTCTAATGAGCCCATTATAGGCTTGTGCCATTAGGCTCAAGACTAAGAAAATGACCCATGTGATGGAAATAAGGATATTGATCAGTGACGTACAGTAACTGTAAAAGGGTGTTTATACTGACAGCCATTTGCAGCAACCTTTTTTTTGCTACCTATTTTGCAATGAGTGTATTTCTAACAATATGAGTGACATCAACCTGTTGGCGTATTCAGTGACACAATAAAGTTTAAAAGAATTTAACTTCATGCAAATTAGTAGCAATTTGATGTGGCAAAGTCAGTCAGTTCATGTGATCCATCTTCTGTGAGAAGCAAGTGTTAGCAAGACGATTACTGTGAGCAATTTCGCTGTTCTATATGATTATCCTCTGCCCACACACATCTTTAAAAAGGTTGGGCTCAGTAAGATTTTTTTTTAAAGAAATGAATACTTTTATTCAGCAAAGATGCATTTAAATAAAAGTGACAATGTATTATGTTATAAAAGATTTAATTTCAAGTACTGTAAATTTCAACTTTCTATTCTCCTAAAAAAGGATAGTTTCCACAAAAGTATTAAGCAGCCCAACTGTACTGGAGTAATGGCTGCTGAAAATTCAGCTTTGCCATCATAGGAACATATTGTATTTTAAAATATATTAAAATACAATAAAATATTTGTAAATTGTAATAATATATAATAATAATAATTTTTTTTTTATCAAATAAATGCAGCCCTGGCAAGCATAAAACATTAAAAACTGAACCTAAACTTTTGAACAGTAATGTACAGCGATTTAGTCTAATTTATATAAAAATAAATGATGCATAGAAAAACCTTTGTCAGGCACTGACACCATTCTGAGTGAGGTTCATCCACACACTGATAATCGTTCATCTTGTTCATGATATGATGTACAGTATGTGCTGCAGTAATTTATGTACAGACACTTCCTCTGTGTTAATAATGTTAACTTTTAGCAGCAAGAAAATAGATTATTTGTCAAAGCGAGTGACATCTTTTTTTTTTTTTGGCCAGTTATGCATCCAACCAGTAATTTTAGAGCATCTAGAATACATTACTAATACATTATATTGCTGTCAGTGTGAATGAGGCAACTATTCTGTGTACTGATGCTGTCGGTCTACTCTCTTTGTGGAAACTCTAAACTTATGATTGGTTATTACACCGGAATTCAGAGATTTGTATGTATTTATTTTTGTCTCTATTATTAGACAGATTCATTAGAAAGTAACGGGAAATCACTGGGAAGAAAGTGGGTTAATGGGATCAGAACAATCTTAAACTTGCATTGGCCACTTGAACATATGCACTAACTGCTGTGCTATGGCCTCAGCATTTATCTCAATTCAGATATTCTTTATACTTTTTTAAACTCTTTTCTACTTGAAGTTTTTCTGAAAGATAAAAGCTAATTATAAATTACAAGCATTAAGCTAAATCAACTGGGAGATGAGGTCACCTAAAAATCAAAAGGTATTTTCAATGCTGTTGACCACAGTTCTGGCACAAGGTCTAACTTAATTTGCAATTTGCTCCAAAAATAATCCATGGATGAATAGAGAGAGATAACAGAACAAGGCTATTTTATATCCACGGAGAGATATTAAGTATTTCCTTTTTTTTTTCACAACCCCCCTCCAGCTCCCCTTCCATGAATTTGTGGAGGCCAGTCAGGAGATTTGTGTGAGAGCCTGATACAGAAAATCCATCTGTTCTGCTGCAAGATTTTGTGTGTGTGTCCTTCCTTTACCTCCCACAAAGTCACTCTTGTCACTGAGCTCCTGTGACATATCAGCACTTATTCCCACACCTCAACACACACACAGGCTGCTACACAGTTATACATGCACAAAGTCGATTCTTTGATTTATTGCCTTGAGGGTAAGACACAAAAAACATGCAGAGATAACTTTTCTCCACAGTGCTGAATGGATGACGGCAGGAGACAGAAGTGCCGGCTCAACATCGTGATGTCTGTCAGCCATCGGCGATGGACGATGACACCGGCTATCGGTCCAACCCAGACGGTGAAACTCCAGCGTGTGCTTACAGTGCCTAATAAATTTGTCCATTTGTATGGGCGCTAATATAGTTATCTGTATAGTTATCGTATTGCGAACAAGGCTTAACAGAGGTCAATGCCTGTTGCTTTCACATGCATTCTGTAACAAGCTTTAGCCCAACATAAAGAGCAAATAATATTGATAGTCCACATCCCATAGTGAAACTCACCATCAGTTACACTTGTTTCTGATTGCTCACTGAGAGTTAAGTGAGTGTGTCAGCACAACAAAGCCCAGTTTGTGCCCCATCACAATAAAGACAGGGTCTGTTAATCATTAAATAACAGTGGCATAAACACATGGCCAATCCACAGAGACGTGTCAGATCTGGGCTGACAGACAGTATGAATTAATCATGCTCTGTACAGGGAAACGGACAGCGTGTTATTTCAACATGACACTCGTTCTCTGAAATTTGGACTGGGCTTGTGGCATTGATGCCAGTGTAATGTGGCAGGCTTATAGGAGGAGGTGGAGGATCTGTTTAAAATGTGGTTAAACATCAATGAAATCATTTATAATTCATCTTGTCATTAGCATAACACATTTGGTTTAAAAAAAAATGTTAGGTTCAAATTATTTTACATTACATTCCCTGGCAGTGCAGCATTTTGGGAGAATGTCAAAGGTTTTTGGGATATAAAATTGCTGAATTGAATAATTGAATATAAAGCCTGTATAGCCTTTAAAATTTGATTGAGAATAAAGCATTTTTTTCTTTGGGGCAGTGCACATATACTTTTAATTTAAGTCCCACCTTCCTGATTCAGGACAGAGATTGTGCCTATGAAAGTAATTTTTATGGGATTTTGTGTTGTGCTTCAGGCAGCATTAGTCGATTCCATCACAGAGACAGCCGGAGTCGTTCAGCTCTCAGTCACAGTCTGTTCAGAGCAGCGCAGCAGGAAGCGATTCAGGCTGAAGATGTGTTCCTCTGATGCCGCCATGGCTCCAAAGAAAGCTGACACCTGATCTTATATCAACCTTCCAGAGCTCTTGACTGATATCATTACCTTCTTTTCTCCATTGCCTTTTATTTTTCAGGGGTATTTTAAAGGTTTTGCCATCCATCCAAATGATAAATGCAGTATCCTTGAATCTAATGTTTCCTTTTCTCTCTTCCTTTGTCCCTGTCTCAAAATGGCTTGTTCTTGTTTAGGCTGTTGCAGTTTTCTGTCTCTCTCTCTCTCTGTTATCATTCCCTGTGCTCTACAGCCACTCAGGAACCATGAATATACAGTGAAATCAATGCATTTGGATATTTAAGTCACACTTCATGTTTGAATGTCATTGCGTTAGATGACCAAGTGCTATATATCTGAAAAAAAAGGACTGCACAAACATTGAAGTAATGTCTCATGTTAAATCTCAATGTAAAGATTTAAACATTGCTCACAATGCTCCTGCAAACCTTTAAGTAATACATAAGAAGAGTTGTTAGAAAAAAAATGTAAATAATGTAATAAATCTGAAATTTTGATTTTATTAAACACTGCCAAAAGTTTGGAGTCAGTAAGTTTTTTTTTTTGTCTTTTATGCTGACCAGGGCTGCATTTATTTGAACAAAAATATAGTAAAAACGGTCATTCATTTAATTTAATTTAACTTAATGGCAAAGATGGCTCAGAAAAGTCAAGGTAATTCTGAGCTCTAGTATTATTTGTTTGTTTTATTGGTTTCATATTTTGTTTCTTATGCAATGACATTCAGACATTTTTTATGTGTTACTAATGTTTTTTGGGCCACTGTTTGAGCTGCCACTCAGGCTGTGTGGTGACATGGGCTGCTCGGAGGTAGCAGGTGTACAGCAGAGGTGTTGAGGCCAGTGCTCGCAGGCCCTGTGTGCAGCCTTCTGCTGCCTCTCCTCAAGTGCAGATTCTTATCTCTCTTTTCTCCCTGGGGACATCCAACTTTGCCTATCTGCCTGGCAGGCAACACCGAGGGGATGAACCCAGCTGCTTGGTGTTATAACTGTAACTGTGATATGCCAACCAGGACAGCATTTATAAACAGCCTGCAGTTGAAATACTAAAGAATATAAGTAAACTGCTTCTTTAATGACCACCAATGCTGTGTACTTATATACATACTTATATTTACATATTATGACAACTATTATGAGGTCATTCTGTGATGTAGAAACAATTCTCACTCAGAAATTGCTAATAAATTGTACAGCAATAACACAGTGATTTAAATATGAAGTAGAAGTAGAAATTCTGAAATACTATTTTCTTGTAACACTCCAATAATCTTTGTTTTTTTACAATGATCAAAAATCCTTTTAAGTGTAAATTTTGAGAGAGAAAAATCAATAAAGCAATCAAGAAATCAGGTATCAGCATGTGCATAAATTAATTTAAGAATCTGATATTTGATATTCAAAACTAATCAATTAATAAAACAAGACTAGTCATTTAATACAAATGTAGTTGTTGTATATTGTGTTTTGTATTTTCAATCTGCTTATTTTTCTGTTTTTGTTAATTGATTGTTTTCGATTTTCAGATTGCATATTTCTTCATCTATTTATCCAAATATTGGTAATTGATTGTTTGATTGATTTATTAATTTTTCAGTCTCTTATTCTCACTTGATTTCTTGATGAATTTATCTACACTAAAAAACAAAATGGTGTAGAAACAGTTTCCCCTCATTGTTAGAAAATTTCACAAAAAACAACAACATTGAATTAAATGTGAAATTTTGAAGTAGAAAAACTAAAATAGTATTTTATTGTAAAACGCACTACAATAATTTGCAGTGTATTTGTTGTGGCTCACTTCCTTTGTGTTGTGGTTTGTGTTTTTTTACTTCGTTAATTCAGTTGTGTTGTGCACCTTTGAACTGTTTCTTAAATGATTCATAATTTTCTCAAATGATTACTGAGTGTCACATTGAATAAAACTGATAAAAATAACAAAAAGTGTGTCAAAAGAATCAAAAATCTTGTTTATAGATTTTTTTTCATAAGATATCTAAGGAATAAATTCTTGAACATGTCCAGCTGCTGCAGATGATGCAATGCATTTGAAGCAAAGAGAGTTTTATCTATTTATTAGATTCAAATGACTCCCCTTTCTACTTGCCAAGACTAGACTCTCAGTCTTTTTTCAATGCTTATTTACCACAGAGATGCCAGTGGCCAGACTCACAGTCACAGTAATAACCTTCAAAGCTCTGCAATCCAATTTTCCTGCAATCTCTCATTTGCAAGTGCTGTGCCTGGCCTGATACGTTAGAGCATTTGTTAGCCTACATATATCCACTTGACTTTTACTGCATCCTTATAGAGTAAAGCACAGCACTCAGGGAAAAGCAGCTCATGCCTCATCTGTCCATGAAATGCCGCTGTTCCCCAGAGTTAGTGTCTACAGCATGCTATGTCTATGTTAATTAAAACCAGAGAGTAAAAACAGCTTGTTAGCACCCACTGGGCAAGTGGGGGGGCTTGTGGTCATCTGCTTGACATAATCTGTAATTGTAAGCAAAGTTGAACCATGAGATGCAGCCATGTAGAATTGTGTAATTGACAATAACCAGTGCAGACACAGTGTGGTTATTTTTGTGTTCTCAGGTCAATTAATACACAACAGGAATCATGAGACTCCAGCCTGGTAAATTGTCCTGCTAGAATAAACAAGGATGCAAGTGATTCTCCAGAGATTAAATCCTTATTATTACCATCACTTCTAAGACAATGAGGTCTGCGTCTTATTTTTTGGGCCTAAGGCACTATAATCCATTCACTCCGCCCAATGTAGAGTCCCAATTCACAAACTATTACCAATATTGAGAGAGTGTAGGGCTGCACTGATATCACAATTCTGGTCGATACAGATGAGCAGATAATTAGTTTCATGTTATGATATACAGTATTTTATTACATGATATTGAATTTCTACACTGAAAAAAAAATGGTGTCGAAACAATTTTTCACTCAGAAATTGCTATTAAACTTCACAAATAATTACAAATTCAGCAAGTAACAGACTGAATTAAACATGAAATTGTGAAGAAATACTAAAACAGTATTTTCTTTTAAAATGTACTCCAATAAGCTTTGTTTTATTTGCAAAATTTAAAGTGTATACTATTTTGTCTAAACAAAATAAAACACTGAAAACTAAAATCAGTAATAATAAAAAAACATTATAATGTAGAGTATGAAAAATAGATGTTCATTTTGAGTTTTGGTTAGTTAAGTTATTTTATTTTAAAAACAAACATTAAGATTAACATTTAGTGAGAATTAGATGATGGCAAATGTCAATGTACACTGTTGTTCAAACTTAATGATTTTTATGCTTTTGAAAGACATCTCTTATGTTCACCAAGGCTGCATTTACAGTAAAAACAGTAACACTGTTAAATATTACAATGTATAATAACTGTTTTCTATTTTAATAAAAAGCTGAAATTCAGCAGTTATTACTCCAGTTTTCAGTGTCACATGTTCCTTCAGAAATCATCGATATACTGATTTGTTGCTCATGCACAGTAGAATATCCAATATCAGCTGATATGTTAAATTATAAAATGTCTAATATCGGCCAGTAACTGATATGGTACAGATATATTGTGTATATCTATGAGAGTGTTTTGAAGTTATAATTTGGCTTTACTAGACTGGCCTGTAAGACTAGGAAAGCACTGAGAGAAAGATGCAAAAAAGTGAAGCAGTTTGTATCAGTGACAAATTAGATTTTTTTTTCTTAATTCTTGACCCACTGTTCCATTCTGATGCAGGAATCTATTTCCTAGAGTGTGGTTCTCATTAGGGAAAGCAATCTGGCCGTTCATTAGCCCATGGTGCAAGATGGAGGGCTTCAATCTATGGGGGAAACGGCAGCCGAACTGCGTTCTTGCGAAGTCTGTGACCTGTGCAGTTTGCTCAATCTGCAGAGCTCCATTTATAATTAATTGCATGCACATTTCCTTTCCCTTTTGCCCCCATCCCATCTCCCCATTCTCCAGCAACTGTCAAGCCAGCCTGAGGCAAAACTATCGATTAGAAAGCAGAACTCGCAGGGAGAGCTGAATGTTTCAATTAAACACTCATATTATATCTGCAAGTGGAAAGCTTCCCATGCATAGAAATAATTTCCTGCTATATTTTTCATTACATCTCCTATTCATTTCAAGGAATAACCTTGTTTCACTGCACCCATTCTCTCAAAGATTGTATTCTCAGCTGCCTCCCCCTGTGTTACATGTTAGGACAGATTAACGTTTGAAAGGAAAACTGGGTTTTGTTGGTAGTTTGTCAGCTCTGGCTGCTGTTAGGATGGAGTTTCTCCCAGCTATTGATTTGTTATTAAAAACATAGTGCCCTCAGGCCTGTCAGATAGCAAGGGTGTGAAAATGAAAGCCGTCATCGCCTGCTGATTTCTCCACCGGTGTGGAGGCAGGGGGTTTGGAGGAGAGCGAGTGAAACCCTCTCAAGCTTTAGTCTTTGTGACAATTATGGAAGCTTCTTTTCGCCACGGGACAAAAAAATAAGAAAGGTAAAAGACTTTTTATCTCACAATTCAGTTTATATCTGACAATTCTGTCTTTTTTTCTCTCGCTAACTCTCTGAAGAAAAGTTTAGTTGCAAAAAGAAAATTCTGAACTGTGAGATATAAACTTGCAATTGAGAGAAAAAATGTCTCACAAAAAAATTGCAAAAAAAGAAGTTGCAATTACCTTTTTTACATTTTTTATTCCATGGTGGAAAAATACACAGAATTGCAAGATATAAATTCAGAAAAAACATAAAAAAACAAGTCAGACTTGCGAGTTAATAACTGTAAGAAGGAAAGTTCAGTTGTGAGAAGAAAAGTCTGAATTGTGAGATATGATGTCACGTTTGCGAGAAAAGAGTTGCCATTACTTTTTACTTTTTTTTTATTCCGTGGTG